TTTGGAAGTTCCCCCCCCGTTTTGGAAGTTCCCCCCCGCGCCCCCCGCTGTCGGGGCGGGGGGGGGGACGGGCGGGGAACTTCCAAAAAGGGGGGACTTCCACAAAAGGGGGGGGAACTTCAAAAAATGGGGGGGAACTTCCAAACGCCTCCGCTGACCCCCCCCCTCCGTTTTGGAGTTCCCCCCCCCCTTTTTTGGAAGTTCCCCCCCCTTTTTTTGGGATTTCCCCCCCCGTTTTTGGAAGTTTTCCCCCCCTCCCCCCCCCCCCTTTTTGGAGTCCGCCCCCCCCTTCCCCCCGTCTCCGCCCCCTTCTCCGCCCCCCCCCCCCCCTTCTCCCGTCCTGGGGGGGTGGGCAGGGGAGGTGGCCTTGGGCGGAATTTTCCGGACGCGCTCAAAAGACCGCCTGGGCGCAGGCTGCGGGAGGCCGACGGCGAAGAACACCGCGCTGGTGAAGAGGGCCCCGCCGGCGTCGCCTCGCCACGCCGCCGGGGGGGCGGCCGGCCGCTCCGCCGCTGGGGGGGGGGGGCGAGCAGCCGCGCATCAGGTCGTCTATTCAGCGTCAAACGGGGGGAGGGAGCGAGCAGGATGAGGTTCCTCACCATTCACTTGCCTCGACATCCTCTCGCTCCTCTCTGTCCCCGCTCCTGCTTCACAGCTCCCCCTCCTCCTCCTCCTCCGCCTCTTCCTCCTCCGCTGCGTCTCCTTCTCCAACCAGAAGCCGACGGGCTTCGCAGCAGGTCCGTGGAGCCCCGCCTCGAGCAACGGCGACATTGCGGACTGCATGTTCAGCGATGTCGGCGATGCACCTGCTGCGCTCGCGGCGACCAGCGGGGCCGGCGAGCCCGGCGGCCCCGCGGCCGAGCCTATGGACTCGCTACTGAAAGACATTGTCGACCGCGCGGAGTGCTTTTCATTCAGGGACCAGCTGGGGCGCAACCTCGGCGTGCTGCAGACGGACGGCGGACGCATCAGATTCGGCTCCCTCGCTGGTTCGAACCTCCAGGCCCCCGTGCTGGAGTGCTTGGGCCAGCACATGCCAGTCCAGTTCTCGCTGCAGCACGTGTTCGTGTGCGAGAAGGACCATGCGAAACGGGCGATGGCTTGCGCCGTCAGGATGCCAGCCTTCGCGTTCGCCGACGCCGCCACGCTCCGCGGCGCGGGCGCAGTGGACACGCTGACGGGCCAGACAGTAGAAATCCCTCGGGTGGAGGTGGCAATGGCTGGCTTTGTTTGTCAAGCCCTCTCGGCTGTGAACAACCAGTGCAACCAGATCGCGCATGACTGCATCCGCACTGGCAAGGGCAAGACGGGGCAATCCGCCCGAAATCTCGTCGCCTGGATGAGGAAGCACGCGCCGAAGTTAGTCATCATGGAGAACGTCACCCGCAACCTGTTCAGCTCCTCTGGTCCGTCCACCCGCAACGTAAAATCGCTGGAGGCTGCCCTCAAGAACGCAGGGTACATTATAATCCCCACCATCCTGGACCCGCTGCAGTTCGGAGTTCCACAACACCGCCCCCGGTGCTGGATATTGGCCATCTTGATTGATACCATGGATAGTTCGATCCCGCGCGGGCCCGGGTCTACTCCTGAGTCCTTGGCACGCAGCACGGCACCATAATTTGCGCAGTTCGTCAGCGACCCCGACGCGGCCGAGCTCTTCGGCAAGCTGAAGGAGCCGCGGCGCGAGAAGTCCTCGGGTTCGGCGCGGATTCCGTGGCGCAGGATTCGGCGAGCGAATGCGGGGAGAAGGGGGCCCTCTTGGGCGTCCGGTCGAGCATCCACTTTCCCCGCCACCATCTGTGTCAAAATCACCGGAATACCTTAAGGAATACCACCTGCGGCCGTGGGCCCAGGGCCCAGGAGGGCTCCGAGAGGGCCCCAGCAGGTGGGCCGTGCAAGAGCGCATGGAGGCCCCAAGAGGGGACCCAAGGAGCCCCAAAGAGGAAACCCAAGAAGCCCCCCAAGAGAGCCCAGGGAGCCCCCAAGAGGGCCCCCAGAGGGCTCCAAGAGGGCCCCGAGAGAGCCCCCAGAGGCCTCCAAGGGGGCCCCACGACGGGGCTCCTTTGATGGGCCGTGCAAGAGCGCATGGAGGCCCCAAGAGGGTGCCCAAGGAGCCCCCAAGAGGGAACCCAAGAAGCCCACCAAGAGAGCCCAGGGAGCCCCCAAGAGGGCCCCCCAGAGGGCTCCAAGAGGGCTCTAAGAGAGCCCCCAGAGGCCTCCAGGAGGCCCCAAGAGGGGACCCAAGGAGCCCCCAAGAGGGAACCCAAGGAGCCTCCCAAGAGGGCCCAGTGAGGCCCCAGAGGGCCCCCAGAGGGCTCTTGGGGACCTCTTGGGCCCCTCCGAGGGCAAGAAGAGCCCAAATGGGCCCCAAGAGGCTCCCGAGAGAGCCCCACAAACATCCGAGAGGGCCCACGGAAGGACCCAAGAGGGCCCCAAGAGGCTGTCAAGCGGGCCCCAAGAAGGGCCCAAGAGAGCCGCCGAGCGAGATGCGGTCGCATCTCGCTTGATGGCCGTCTTGGGGACCTACTGGGCCCCTCCGAGGGCCCCAAGAAGAGCCCAAATGGGCCCCAAGAGGCACCCCTGAAACGCGACGTCGATGTCGCATTTCAGGGGGCGAGGAGGAGGAGGAGTTGGAGGCTCGAGGGGGATGGTCGAGGAGGAGGATAGGAGGAGGAGGAGGAGGAGGAGGAGGAGGAGGAGTAGGAGGAGGAGGAGGAGAAATAGGAGGAGGAGGGGGATGAGCAGAAGTGGGTATTCACGCGACATCGATGTCGCATTTCAGGGGTCGATGAGGAGGGGGAGTTGGATGCTCGAGGAGGATGGTCGAGGTCCCCGAGAGAGCCCCCAGAGGGCTCCAAGAGAGGTCCAAGAGGGCCCCTAGAGGGCTCCAAGAGGGCCCCAAGACGGGGCCCCTTGGGTGGGCCGTGCAAGAGCGCATGGAGGCCCCAAGAGGGGACCCAAGGAACCCCAAGAGGAGCCCCCCAAGAAGGCCCAGGGAGCCCCCAAGAGGGCCCCAGAGGGCCAAGAGGGCTCGAAGAGTTCTTTGGCAGGTTCCGTCGGGGGCTTGTTGGAAGCCCATTGGCGCCCGGAAGGGGCTGCGAGACGGCCCCGAGTGAGCCCGTCGGCGCCTCGGCGCTTGACCCCCCCCCCCCCCCTGCCTTGCAGCCTCCACGCGCAGATGTTCAAACGGGAGGGGCTCAGCGCGGCCGCCGCCGCCCTGGCCCACCGCGCCACGATCGCATGGCGCGCCACGCCTCGCGAGGCCAGCATCCTGTCCTGGTGGGGCGCCCAGGGCGCGTTCGCCGCCCCCGGCGAGCGGCGGACGCTCGAGCTGAAGCATTCGATTGACAGGGCGGCCCCGTGCACTGAGCACGTCTCCACCATCCTGCCCGGGTCGGTCATCTTCTTCAACTTCCCGGGCGAGGACCGCTTCATGAGCGGGGCGGAGATGCTGCGTCTGCAGGGGGTGCCCAAGTGGTCCGCCTCAAGGCCGGCGTGGCGCACTCAAATTCGTTCCTCAAAGAGCTGGCCGGGAACGCCTTCAACGGGGCAGCCCTGGCGGTCGCGTTTCTCGGGGGCCTCTGCCTGGCGCCCTTCAAAGACGACGACCGCTCGTCTTGAGCAGGCCGACCTTGCAGCTAGGGCTCGCGGGGCCCTGCGCCCGACCCCTACTTCCGCCCTGATCTTCCGACCCCCATTCCTCTTCCACCTCTCTCCTCCTCCCCCCCCTCCCTGTCCCCTCCCTCCTCCTTCCTCCCCGTGCCCGCTTCTCCTCCTCCCCCATCTCCTCCTGTCCGGCCAGATGCCCGCGGCTCCGCCGCCCCCCCCCCCCCTACCGGCGGCCTAAGGGCCGACAGCCGCGGCGCGCCCCGCTCATGTGGGAAGGAGCGAGAGGCGCTGCCGCCCAGGCAAAACAACGGCGTCGGAATCCAGACCTCCAACGTCCAGCATCGATCGACAGCTTCGAAAGAAGGTTTTTCACCGAAGTCGGGCCCCAGAGGCCAACCCTTCGACGGCTCTGGAGGCCCGGGGCCCGGGCACCGGGGCCGTCGACGCGCTGGCCAGGCGCCCCCCAGAAGGCCCGGGCAATTCGACGGTTCCGGGGGCCCGGGGCCTGGGCCCAGGGGGCGTCGACGGGTCGCCCCGACGCCGGCCCTGGGGCCGATTTTCCATTCGGAGTCGTTGTCTGACGGCCCCGGGGGGGGCGATGCCCGCCGACGCCGATGCCGATGCCCCGCGCGGCCCCTCCCCCGAGGCTCCCAGACGACCCCGCGAGGCCCCAAGAGGGCTTCAAGAGGCCTCTCGGGGGGATAGTATATCTCGAGGCCTTTGGTTGCATGCCCCACGCGCCCCTCCCCCCGAGGCTCCGAGACGACCCCGAGAGGCCCCGAGAGGGCCCCGAGAAGCCCCCGAGAGGATCCCAAGCGGCCCCCAGAAAGGCCTCACTCCGCATCCAGACAAGTATTGCCTCCCCAACGGGATCCGGGGCCCACCCGCCCATCCTCCGCCTCCCACTCCGCCGCCGCCCCCAAGCCAAGTCAAAGGGTTCGACCATCCAACGTCAGCCCCCGCGCCGCGGGTTCGACCATCCAGCGTCCGCCCCCGCGCCGCCCGCCATGGGCCGCCCCCGCTCTCGTTCTCGGTCTCCGCGCCGCGCCCAGAGTGAGAGAGTGCCCAGGACGGAGAAGCAGTGCCGTATATGATCTCGCTCCAGCCTGGAGGACGACCCGAACTTTGATGGTTACATTCTGTGGGGCTACAACCAGAAGCCCCAGAAAACTCCCGACGGCTTTGAGAGGCTCACTGGGCGAGTGTATTTGTATTGCGAGAAAGTCCACACGAGCTCACACTCCGACCTGAGCGTCGCCCAAGCCAAGGAAAAGTACGACAGCGACAGCCAGTTCAAGGAATCCTGGGAGAACGATCGGCGTGCTGTCATCCACATTGCGGCGGAGCAGCAGACTTCGAACCCCCGCGTCATTGCGAAAAAGCTGAGCATGGCCCGCGAGCAGGTCACATTGTCTCGAGCCTCGGAGAGTCGCAGATTCAAAACGGGGACGGAACTCAGCAAGAAACTGCCCATGTCGCGGTGCGCCCACCGCCCCGACTTGATTACTAAAGCGAAGTGCTTCTTGGGGTTGAAACTGTAGTACAGCGGAGGAAAAGACGCCAGCGCCGCTGCTCGTCTTGGAGAGCCCTCGTCGCCACGGCTGGATTCACTTCGGAATGCTGGTCAGGACGCACCCCGGGAGAGGCCCGGAGGGCAGCGGCGCGGTATCTTGTGCCCCCCCCCAGTCGTACCCAACTCTGCATTCTTCTCCGCCCCTTCCAGTGGCAAGCGAGGTCCTGCCGCGCCAGCTGCCCGCGCCCACCCGCGCGGCTGGGCAGCCGGCCCCGCGCCTGCCATGGGGGGGCAGGGAGGAGGCCTGGATGAGATATGATATGTGAGTGCGCAGTTTCCCTCGAGGTTTTACCCAGCGCACGACAAGTCCACTGGCAAGACAACGATGACCACCAAGATCTACGACCAGCAGGAGGGCGAGAACTTATTCGAGGAGGGCGAACGCACCACCATGGAACACAAGAAGGCCCCCTCGTCCTCCCGGGGGCTGGGGGGTCTCCGCATCACGCGGCCCCGCGCCGACGGGCCCGCGCGGGCCCGCGATCCCCCGCTTTTCGCCGCTACGGCAAAGACCAGGAGAGTGAAAACCATGGTCCTTCGCGACAGAGCAAAATATAACTTTTGACGTTTTCTACAACATGATGTTTTCCCTTGGCATCATCTGGGGGCCACCAGGTACCCCGCCTGAACCCTTGAGCTGCCCCCGCTCCGCCTCGGACCTGTCGATCGTCGTCGTCGATCGTCGAACGTCGTTCGTCGTCGTCGCTGACCATCTGACCCTCTGACGGGGCGGTCGCTGGGGCCGGCCCCGCTCGGACAGATCCGGCGTGGACGCCCCGGGGGCTTGCGTCCCTATCGCTTCGCGCGCCCTCGCTATCAATTTTGGCCGCGCCTGCAATTCCCTGGACAAGTCTTTTTTCCTCGTGGAGGAGGAGGGGCGGCTGGAACAGATTTTCGCCTCAATGCGAACATCTGTTCCAGCCGCTTGCGTCTTGGCGGGGTGGGGGGTGGGGGGCAATTGCTCGCGCCAGATGAGGTCGTGGACGACGGCGAGGTCAGGCTCGCCCCGGACCAGGTGCAGCAGCGGTACGTCCAGGACGCAACGCAGCTCTTCGGCAGGTTCGGCAACCAATCGGAGCTCTTGGCGGCCGACATGCTCGGCGATGCTCCGCCAGCTGCCTCCGAGGATGAGCCACTCGCCGAGAAGGACGACGCCGCCTGGGCCGTCGGCGACTCCGACGAGTCGGGCGAGGACGTCGCCCCGGCCGCGAAGGCGATGTGCCTTGGCCTGGGCCGCGACGCCCCGCAGGCGCCCGCGCCGAGCCGAGCAGGCAAGGGCCGCGGCAAGGGGCAATGGGGGCCGCAAGAACGAGGCCGCCAGGGCCCGCCGCGCCGCTGGCGCCGCAGGCGGCAAACGCGGCGATGACTACGATTCCGACGAGCAGCCGTTTGGCGGGTATGGGATGCAGACGCCAAGGGCCGCCGCTCGCCCCAGGGTCCGCGGAAGCCCCTCGGCGCCAGCGGCGACGCTGCGCCGCTCGACGAGGGTCGGCGCCGGCGGACACGGCGACCCAGCCAGCGCGGGCGCGGCCCCGTTCGCCGGCCCAGCCGTTGGCGCCGCCCCAGACGCCAGCGCCGCCCCGGCCGCCATCGCCGCCCCAGCGGCTGGCAGCGCCGGCAGCAGTGGAGCGCTGCCGCCCCCAGGCGGAGGCGGAGGAAGGCCGACGCTGCCGCGGCAGCCGCAGCCCCCAGGCGGCGGCGACCCCGACGACCACGTCGTGCGCGGCGAGCAGCTATTTGACACGTTCTGCCGAACGTCCAGCCTGCGCGAAGCCTCGGATCTCATGGGTCAGGTTTCTGAGATAAAGGCGTGCATTGCTGATCTCCGGAAGCAGAAGACAGCCCTGGGAACTCGGCGCAGGAAGGGCAAGGTCACCGCCCAGGACGAGGCTTCGGTCAGCGCGACCATCAACAAGCTGAGCACCGCCGTTGACTTCGCGACGGCAGCGGACAAGGTGGTGAAGCAGCCGTTCACCAAGGCCAGCCCCGACTTCATCCGGGCGTTCGCCGCGCTGGAAGGTTGGAGGGCAGGGCGCGGTGGAGCTGGCCGCGGCGGTGCCGGGGGTGGGCCCGGGCAGGGTCGACGAAGGTGGCGCGCAGAACGGGTGGGTTGAGACTCTCAACCCGCCCGTCCTGCCCGCCACCTTCACCCTGTCCCCGCCCGCCGCCCTCTGCCCCGCTGCGGCAGGCGCCGCCGGGCCCGTGGCCCGCCGTGGCAGGCGCCATGGAGCAGGGCCAGGATCCGTTGGACAGTTTTTGGTCCGTCCAACGCGAGAAGGCCAAGATCCACAGCTTGTCGGACTTCGGCTTTTTCCTGGCAGCCATCGAGTCCATGGAGAACGACATGATCACGGTCGGCATCGATGGGGACCACATGTCAGGCGCCAAGTCCATCCTTCTCCGGGCTGTCTTGACCACCCACGTCAACGTCGCGGAGAAGATGAAGACCCCGCTCGGCGAGTATCGCGATCAGCTCGGCAAGATGCTAGCATCAGTGCGGAAAGGCGGTTTCCTTGAGGACGATGTCAGCTCCATCACATGCGTGGTGACCATCGGCAACGCCGCCAACGTGCCGTGCGCCGACTTGCAGTCGGCGGTCGGCGCTGGACACCGCCCAGAGGCTCATGCGGGATGGCGACCCATTTGTGACGTATGTGTGGAACCAGTCTGGCCTCATGAAGCCCGTCATCACGGCGGCCATCGACCTTTCGCATAACGCTGCCGCGAAGGCGCTGCTGGCGCGGGATGTGGCGGCGCGCTTGGAAGCAATTGAGGCGGCGAAGAAGGCCGCCGCGGAAGGCGACACCCTGGCGGACAGCATGGCGGACGCTGCGCTCTTGGACAGCATGGCGGCGCGCTACGAGCTCTTCAAGACGTGTCTTGCCCCCCTGAGGTTGGCGAAAGGTGACCCTGCCCTGCACGGGTCAGCGCGCGACCTCCTGGCCGCCGCGGTGCAGCACTGCCTACTGGACGGCATCTCCCTGTGCGCAGCTCAATGGACGGCGACCTCAGCCAAACTCATGCAGCACGACTTCAAGCGTCTCGGTACCAACTTCGGAAAGCTGACTGACGAGTTCGAGTCATACGTGATGCACGTCGCTCCAGCCATTGCGAAGCTGTCAGACATCCGGACGTTGATGATCTCAGCTGCAGACGGGGACACCTTCGCGGCTCAGCGCGCCATCATTGAGACGCATCTTGAGCTCACGGAGGTCCTCGTGCCCAGCGGCTGGTTGTTCGAGTCCCTCCTGTCGCTGGCGGACAAGGACTTGTCGAATCCGGACACCAGGAGTGCTGTGAAGGCTGCGCTTGCGCAGTTGGCCACGTCGATGCGTCAGCTGACTTCTGACGGGCGCAATGCCCCCCTCGCGTCAGCCGCCGGCGGCATGAAGGCCGCGCTCGGCAAGGCTTGCGCCGTCGACTTCGAGAAGGAGCTCGAGGAGTTTCTCGCAGGCCTGTTCCATTACAAGTTCGTCCCGAAGGAGCACTGGCACAGAGACGTTCATCACGATGAGATTCCCTGGGCGGATGCCAAGAAGCACGTTTCGCAGACATCTTCCGACCTCGTGGACCAGCTGATCCTCATGGACCGACTGAGCACCGTCCGCATGATCGAGGCGCTGGAGGTCGTCGAGCGCATCCAGTTGGCAGGGGCCAACCTCGAGGCGTCCCTGGCCGCGGCCACCGCCGCGCCCCTGTCAACGGCCATCGTCTCCGACACGGTCCAGGATTGGGTGTTGCGCCTGACCTCGGGTCATTCGCTCGTCGCGCAGCTGCGCGGCCTGATCGAGAAGTTCGCGAAGCTGGAGGCCGAGCAGGGCGTGTGGCCGTGCGATACGTTCACGCAGGACGACCTTGGCAAGCTCGCCGAGAGTTCTGACGGCTGGATCAAGACGCTCGAGGCGCGGGCCTCGCACTTGTGGTCGGCGGGGGCCGCCGAGTGCGTCGCTTCGCTCAGGGCCGAGGTGCCGCCCGAGTGGCGCGAACACACGGAGACGAAACGGGGCGACGCATGGATCAAGGCGAACTTGCTGGACGGTGTCATGAGCAAGATCCGCTACATATTCCCGCGAGCCCAGGGCTTGGACTGCCGAGGAGGAGGAGGAGGAGGAGGAGGAGGTGGAGGAGGAGCACTTCCCTGGGGGGATTTTCATGATACCGATGCCGCATCAGGTCCGCCGCTTGACGGTCCGGGGGCCCGAACACGCCACCCCGGGGGCCGACAACGGCGAACAATTTCGCCGAATTTCGAGCGGCCGGAACCATGGGACCATGTGGGGAAACGCGGCTGCGTTTCCCCACATGGTCTGGTGTCCTGGGGCTGCCCCTGGCGACGTCCTGGGCGCGCTCCGGGGGCGGCCCCGGGCGTTTCCTGGGCGGCCCCGTGCCGTCTTGGCCGCGCGGCCGGGTGCTGGGACCACGTGGGGAAACGCGGCTGCGTTTCCCCACGTGGTCCGGTGTCCTGGGGAGGAGGAGGAGGAGGAGGAGGAGGAGGCGGAGGAGGGGCACTTCCCTGGGGGGATTTGTTCATGCCGATGCCGATGCCAGGTCCGCCGCTTGAAGGTCCGGGGGCCCGAACACGCCACCCCAGGGGCCGAGAGCGGCGAACAATTTCGCCGAATTTCGAGCGTCGAGCTTCTGCGAGCGATGTGCGACGAAATCGAGGAGGATGGAGGAGCAACAACAAATGCATAGCTGCATAACACTTAACTTCTGGAGGTCCGTGCGGAATTCGCGGGTCGGCGTTGGACCCCCCCGCCCCCGCCCTGGCGCGCGGCGCGCGCCAGGGGCGGCGTCGAAGGCGCCGTCGGGAGGGCCCAGCGCCGATCCAAGAAATCCGCGCGGACCTCCGGAAGTTTGCGTTGATGTTTTTTTTTCTCTTTCGATGCCCAGGAGTGCGTTTTCTTCCCCGCGGAGAACCCTCTGTTCACGGTGCCCACGGACGACGGGGCTGGATCAATGGCGCCCTGCCTCTCGCTCTCCCCCTCCCAATCCCGACCCCCCCTCCATTGTTCCGTTTCCCCCTCCACCTCTCCCAGCCTCGCCCGCCCCCCGACAAAAGTTTCGAGGTTGGCCGTCTTGGGCGCAGTGGAGCCCGCCGGCCCTTCCCTCTCCCCCCGCCGCCGCGCCCCCTCCCCCCCCCGGCTGTCCTCGGCTCAGGATCGCAAGCTCTTCCTGGCGAAGCGCGTCGAGTCCGGGCCCATCGCCGACCTGAAGGCGGTGGTGGCAGAGGTCAAGCAGATGGTGGGCACGATCCTCGTGTTCAATTGCCTTGAGAAGGTGTCGAAGGCCAAGAAGTCGGAGAAGAAGCAGCTGGTGAAGGACGCCAAGAAGAGCATTAGCGCCAAGAAGTGCATCCCGGCTGAGGTTGCTTCCCCCCCGTCGCCCCCCATTAGACCTCCCAGATGGGGTCGGGGCAGATGGGCTCGGAGGATCGCGCCGCATCGCCCGTGCATCGCCGATGCGGCTCGATGTGCAGCCCGATTTGCTTCGCGTCGACGTCGCAGATGCATCGCCAGTGCATCGCCGATGCATCGCCGATGCATCGCCGATGCGGCGCGATCCCCCGACCACATCTACTCCGACCCCATCTAGGAGGCCACTGCCCCATCCACCTCCCACTCAATCCCTCATTCATTCCTACAGGCTGTGTTTGCGCTGCTCAAGGATAACCCCTGACGGCCGAGGCCGAGGCCGTCGAGCGGGCGGCCGAGGCCGTCGAGCGGGCGGCCGAGGCCGCCAGGCGGGTGGCCGGGGCCGCCGAGCGGGGGGAAGCGTCGACTGCGACTACGACGACGACGACGAGACAGTGAGGGAATTTCTGCCTCCATGGGGTGGGCAGAAGTTCCCTCGGAGTCGTGATCGACGACGACGAAGATGGATGGAGACACGACGACGCTTCCCCTCGTTCTTTCGGGCCGGGCGAAAGGGGGGGATTGGGAAAGGGGGGGTTGCGAAATTTGCTGCATGCAGCTGGTTTCGGCCTCACCGAGGGACCCATTCCTCGATACATGGCCGCCTCCGGCGCCGGGAGGCGCTGGGAAAATCAGCTACGTGAGCTGATCCTCAAACCCCCCCTTTGCTCCCCCCTTTCGCCCGACCCGATTCTTTAGAACTATCTTCCTGGCCGGCTAGGGCGCCGGCACGGGGCGGCGGCCCAGCGCCCGAGCTCGCTGGGGGGAGCTTGGGCCGGAGGACCGGCAGCGGCGCCGACGGAGAGAGCGCCGCGGCTGCTGCTGCTCCTCCTGCTGCTGCTGTTGGTGCTGCCGCTCCTCCCCCGCGCCCTCTTCCGGCCCGAGCCTCGAAGATCGGGCCCTCGGGCCCCCCCCTTCGTCGCCGCGGCAGGACGCAGCTCGAAACGCCGGTGCCCGGCAGTGGCAGGGGTGGAAAAGGTACCGCGGCTGCGCAGGCCTGCTCCTCCTGCGGCTGCTGCTAGTGCTGCCGCTCCACCCCTTCCTCCTGCTCCGCAGGCTCGAGTCTGGCCCCTCGTCGCCACGGCCGGGCGCAACTCGACGCCCTCGGCGATTCATTCTGGACCCCGCGGGGAGAGGTCCAGGGGCCGATTTTGAGCTGACCTCCTGCGGCTGCTGCTGGTGCTGCCGCTCCTCTCCCTTCTCCTGCTCTGCAGGCTCGAACCTCGAAGAACGAGGGTTTATAGCCCTCGGGGGGCCATTCGTCGCCGCGGCTGGACGCAGTTCCAATCTCTGGCGCGGCTGGACTCCGCCGAGAAAGGTCCCGGGGCCGACTTTAAGCAGGTTCGCACTTCGAACCCTGGGGCCAGGCTCGGCGTCGTAGGATCGATGGGCAGGGACGGCGACCGAGGGAGGGAGTGCGACCGCCGCTCTCCCTGGGCCGCGGAGCCTCCTCTCTCCTCCTCCCCCCTCCCCCCTAGTTCTCCCTTCTCCTGCTCTGCAGGTTCGAGCCTCGAAGAACGAGGGTTTATAGCCCTCGGGGGGCCATTCGTCGCCTCGGCTGGACGCAGTTCGAAACTCTGGTGCGGCTGGACTCCGCCGAGAAAGGTCCCGGGGCCTAAGATGCCGATGCCCAGGTTCGCACTTCGAACCCCGGGGCCAGGCTCGGCGTCGGAGGATCGATGGGCAGGGAAGTCGACCGAGGGAGGGAGTGCGACCACCCTCCCTGGGCCGCGGAGCCTCCTCACTCCTCCTCCCCCTTTCCCCCTAGTACACCTAGTGCTATGTATGTATGCGTGCGTTGCGTCAATATTTTGATGTAGCTTACTTTCATTATTCGAAGTGGATAGTATATGATTCATTCATACTGCATTAGTACCGATTTGTTAACAACAAACCCCTACTGGTACCGCAAAGCCTGATGAGATAAAACAATTACTCTCACCTGGGTTTCTCCTCCTTCAGGGAGCACAAGGCCTGGCAACCTCCGTGCCTAGCCCGACCGTGGGCAGACGGAGATCACCTGGCGCGGGGGCGCTAAGCCTCTGAGGGCTTGCGACCCCACAACTCATTCGTAGTGTGTAGAATATATAATATATATAAGTATATATATAAAATATATACATATATATATACATATATACATATATATTCAACACTCTCGTGTATCTTTATCATGTATGCTGCATACAGCATACAGTTGTTGACAATGCAAGAGAGGGGAACAGGGGGGGGGGGGGGGCGGGGCGGGAGCGGGGGGGGGGGGGACGGGGGGGGGCGGATGGGGAGGCGGGGGGGGGTCTCCAAAACACGAGGGGGGAACTTCCAAAACAAGGGGGGGAATTTCCAAAACACGGGGGGGAACTTCCAAAACAAGGGGGGGAACTTCCAAAACAAGGGGGGGGGGGGCGGGGGGGAAACGCTAGGGGAGCCCCCCTCTCTTAGTTGTCAACGGCATTTTATAAAATATGGAGGAAGTCTCGAGCGGGAGCCTCGTCTGTGAGTGAATTGTGAGGAAGTCTCAGCCGGGAGCCCCCTCCCTATGGGGCCCGCACTTCATGTTTGAATCCGAGCGGGTCATCCGCAACGTGCAACTGTCGTCACTTTTGGGTTCTTGAGATATGAATATGGAGGAAGTCTCGAGCGGGAGCCTCGTCTGTGAGTGAATTGCGAGGAAGTCTCAGGCGGGAGCCCCCTCCCTATGGGGCCAGAACTTTATGTTTGAATCCGAGCAGGTCATCCGCAACGTGCAACTGTCGTCATTTTTGGGCTCTTGAGACTTGAATATGGAGGAAGTATCAGGCGGGAGCCTCGTCTGTGAGTGACTTGTGAGGAAGTCTCAGGCGGGAGCCCCCTCCTTATGGGGCCCGCGCTTCATGTTTGAATCCGAGCGGGTCATCCGCAACGTGCAACTGTCGTCACTTTTGAGCTCTTGAGGCCTGAATATGGAAGAAGTATCAGGCGGGAGCCTCGTCTGTGAGTGAATTCTGAGGAAGTCTCAGGCGGGAGCCCCCTCCCTATGGGGCCAGCACTTCACGTTTGAATCCGAGCGGGTCATCCGCAACGTGCAACTGTCGTCACTTTTGGGCTCTTGAGACTTGAATATGGAGGAAGTCTCGAGCGGGAGCCTCGTCTGTGAGTGAATTGTGAGGAAGTCTCAGGCGGGAGCCCCCTCCCTATGGGGCCCGCACTTCGTGTTTGAATCCGAGCGGGTCATCCGCAACGTGCAACTGTCGTCACGTTTGGGCTCTTGAGACTTGAATATGGAGGAAGTCTCGAGCGGGAGCCTCGTCTGTGAGTGAATTGCGAGGAAGTCTCAGGCGGGAGCCCCCTCCCTGTGGGGCCCGCACTTTATGTTTGAATCCGAGCGGGTCATCCGCAACGTGCAACTGTCGTCACGTTTGGGCTCTTGAGACTTGAATATGGAGGAAGTATTAGGAAGGGGGCCTCGTCTGTGAGTGAATTGTGGGGAAGTCTCAGGCGGGAGCCCCCTCCCTATGGGGCCCGCACTTTATGTTTGAATCCGAGCAGGTCATCCGCAACGTGCAACTGTCGTCAATTTTGGGCTTTTGAAATTTGAATATGGAGGAAGTCTCGAGCGGAAGCCTCGTCTGTGAGTGAATTGCGAGGAAGTCTCAGGCGGGAGCACCCTCCTTATGGGGCCCGCACTTCATGTTTGAATCCGATCGGGTCATCCGCAACGTGCAACTGTCGTCACTTTTGGGCTCTTGAGACTTGAATATGAGGAAGTCTCGAGCGGGAGCCTCGTCTGTGAATGAATTGCGAGGAAGTCTCAGGCGGGAACCCCCTCCCTATGGGGCCCGCGCTTCACGTTTGAATCCGAGCGGGTCATCCGCAACGTGTAAGTGTCGTCACTTTTGGGCTCTTGAGGCTTGAATATGGAGGAAGTATCAGGCGGGAGCCTCGTCTGTGAGTGAATTGTGAGGAAGTCTCAGGCGGGAGCCCCCTCCCTATGGGGCCCGCACTTCATGTTCGAATCCGAGCGGGTCATCCGCAACGTGCAACTGTCGTCACTTTTGGGCTCTTGAGAGTTGAATATGGAGGAAGTCTCGAGCGGGAGCCTCGTCTGTGAGTGAATTGTGAGGAAGTCTCAGGCGGGAGCCCCCTCCCTATGGGGCCCGCACTTCATGTTTGAATCCGAGCGGGTCATCCGCAACGTGCAACTGTCGTCACTTTTGGGCTCTTGAGATATGAATATGGAGGAAGTCTCGAGCGGGAGCCTCGTCTGTGAGTGAATTGTGGGGAAGTCTCAGGCGGGAGCAGCAGGAGGAAGAGGAGAGGGCAAAGGGTAAACTAAACAGATTCTCATGTGGGGTCCTACCGTCGGAGTAATTTTGCATCGACTATACCTAAAGTCCCTCGGGCTTGGCCGGATCCGAGGTGCGGCGAGCCCTCTGAGATACCCCCCCTCCTGACTGCCTGGCCCGTGTCTTGTGCCGCATGTCCTCGCTACGCTAGGATCGCGCTGGCCATGCGCCACGGGATGCCACGGGGCTCCATCTTTCCCCAGCAATCAGCTTGTCTATCGTGATCCAATATCAGACTTCAAGGAAATCGTAGGTTCGACGCTGGTTCCCATTGCCTCCCGTGGCCTTCTGGGGCCTTCGGGGCCTCTCGATGCCCCCCGTTGCCGTTCCTATCGGACTCCCTACCCCTATCTCGATGCCTCTATCTTATACCTATTCCTTGTATCCCTTTCCTGACTCCCTACGCCTATCCCGACTCCTGTTCCTATATCATTTTTCCTGAACCTCTATTCTACTATTCCCTATGAACAAACACCCCCTTCCTCAGGTGACCTCTGAAGAGGTCTAACGACTAAGCCGCCTACATGGTTGTAGCTGCTGTTGTAAAGCCAAGTAAGGCGAGCTACCACCTGCAAAATGAGGCGCGAATGAATTAACATGTTATCATGTGTTAATCTGTTATGTACAGCGAACTTGAAGTTTAGCTAGTTGTCAGTTTGTTTAACGTAAGCTGTTGTATGCGTACGTAAGTCGAGCAAAACGTTTTCGGCGGGGGCGTTCGTCAAGGAATGTGCCTATGGGGACTTCAGACTTTGGGGATGAGTTATTTGTTGGGTGCGGCTGTGATATCCAGGGCCGATTCACGACTGGAGTTCTACCCGCTTCCTTGTCCACCGGTTCCTGGTCCAATGCTCTCACCGTGCCACATTCTAACATGATTTTACAGTCATGCTACAGTCCTTCAACATGATTCTGGATAGTTGCAGTTGGGTCGGCAGGTTCACCAAGCCTACACTATGATATATGTGAGTTTCAATGCTTCAAGGTCTACCTTGCGTTTGTGTTGGAGTTGTGAGCATCGTACTTGCATGATTGACATCACATATGCAGTGCGTCTTGCCGCTTCAACATACATATCGTGCGAGCGTTGCCACACGTGCGCACTTACGATTGACAGTATCTTATATTCCTCTTCTTCTTATTTTTCTACAAGCGGGTGGGTGGGTGGGGGGAGACCCCGTTCCCCTCCGCCACACCCAAACTGGACCCCCAGGATCGCGAGTTTCTGGGCCCCTCGGACATCCTTACCAAAGGTCCCTCAGCTCGTCCCGGACCTCTGAGACCGCTGCGGCCGCGGATTGAGCAAATCACATCGTCAGACGTTTGAGTTTGCATGGAGGTCCAGATTCAGAGGAGGAGCGAAGACTGGTACCAAAGCGTGTCCCTAGCCGCCGCGGTTGGATTCGCTCCGGGATCCTGGTCTGATTGCATTCTGGAGGAGGTCTGAGAAGTAGTGGCATCACTACACTTTACTGTCCCCACAGGTGGCATCCACAGCACCCCTCACAAGGGCCAGAGGGCCTAGCGGGTTCCTTCCACATAAGCCTCGACCTTTCCATTTTCATCTTCATTTTCGATCGGTCGACGACGGCGACGACTTATGACGACGACGAGCGTGTTTTTACAGCCTCTGGGCCATAATACGCGTTATGCCCCCCCAGAACGTGACGCTCGTCCCCCCCACTCAGTGCGCCTTCGGCACTGCCATCCTCAACCTTTTATCTTTCGACGACGGCGACGACAGCGACGACTTACGACGACGACGATGTCGGCTGGGACCGCACGGAGGTCTTTGGGGGTCTTTTGCAGGCTTGCGGAAATCCCTGGAGATGTCGGGCGGCGTTCAGAAATGAGTATGCATCTCCACGGAGGTTAAATTCAGAATTGGCGCTGGTATTTCCCTGGTCGATGCTGGCCCAAGCTGGCTTGATCCCAACGACTCACGTGTATAATCCTGCCAGATCTGGTTTGACCTTGATTAATCGGGTTTGGTCCCAGGCTGAATCCGGCCTTATTTGGCTCAATGTCCCCCTAATCAGGCTGAGTAGCCTTCAACCGTTCCGACGGACACTTCCCAGGAGTTGCCTCCTAACAGACGCCTGGATCCTCGCGCCTCTGTCCCCGAACGTCGATCGGTCGATGACGGCGTCGACGACGACGACGACGACGACGATGACGTCGACGACTACGACCACGACGACGACTACGACGTCGACGGCGACGACGACCACGACGACGACGGCGACGACGACGACGACGGCGACGCCGACAACGTCGACGACGTCGACGGCGACGGCGACGGCGACGAGGGCCGCGACGGCCCCCCCGGGGGGGCTGTCGGCCGGCGGGGCTCCGTCTACGGGGAGTGCCCCGCCGACGGGTACGAGCCCGGCGCGCGCCGCAGCCTGCCGCCGGGCCTCGTGGACGTCGACGAGCTCGAGGGAGCTCGGGGTCGTTTTCGCAAGCAGGGGCGAGGCGTCGCGGCTCGCCTATCCCAGACCCCCTCGAGTAGTGAAAAAATCACGACGGGAGGTTTTTCCTACTTTTCGGCCTCTGGGGGCCCTCACCGGGCCTCGGGAGCGTCAAAAAACGACTCGGGATGCAAAGCCGGTCATGGGGAAAGGGTCGGGAGCACTGGAGGTCGACGTAATGAAAAAATCATTACGTCGGGGGTCTGGGCTATAGCCCTACCAAGCAGTGTTCTAAGAACCTGTTGTGGTGTCCACGGGATGTTCTCAGAACATGTCTGGCGGAGCCTGTCATGTTTTATCACATCAGGGTCATGTTCCAAGAACAGTGTGCTTGTGATGAGAACAGCTTTGGGTTCTAAGAACACTTCGTGGTAGGACCATAGGAATGCCGGGACGGCCGGTCCGTGCTCAATTTTCGGTTGGCCCAGGAGGGGGTCCAGCGAAGAGACCCAGACCAGCAACGCCTTGACAAAGATCATGGCGGAGGTTTTCCTCGGCGTTCGGCCCCTGGCGGCCCTCGCTGGGCCCTGGGAGCGTCAGAAAACGATTCAGGATGAAAAACCGGGAATGGGTCGAGATTTCGGGGACCCCGTATGGGAAAAAACACGACATCGGATCTTTGGGGAGGGTGGTGCACTAGATCTGGCGCAGCAGATTGTTGTGGGGGTTGCAACATAGGCCTGCGGCGTGCAATGATCATATCCCGGTGCGCAAATATGTATTGCTGCATGTCCGCGTACGCAATGCACGAAGTGCTAAACAATGCAAGTCAATCTTCTGGCGCAGTGCATTTGCAATAGAATTGCCCCAAATCTATGGGAGCCCCCCCCTTCAGCTGGACCCCTAGTTGTGGGCCAACCAAAGATCGGTGCGATCGAAATGAATACGGAAAAACTGGGTACGAAGGTTGACAGCAGTTCCTGCCCATTTCGAACAGGGTTCGTTGTTGGCGTCGCCGGGGGCATTGTCGACTGGAGACAGAAGGCCGCGTGCCCAACAGCGACCGCTGTCGGCTTTTGACATCATTCATTGGGCATCGTGCCCATTTTTCCTGCACCGTTGCGGAGGTCCCGGTCAGAGGAGGAAACCCAGTCCCCTTCGGGTCATGAAAAAATCGTGACGGGCGGCTGTTCGCCATCTTCGGCCTCTGGGGGCCCTCACAGGCCCTCGGGGCCGTGAAAGAGTTGCTCGGGATGACAAACCTGTCCCAGGGAATGGGTCCAGACCGCTGGGGGTCCACGCCATGAAAAAATCATGTTGGCCGGGGTCTGGGAAGGGTACCGGTACCACTACCCTTGCCTCTTCGTTGTTTTTTCGGGCCTCCTGGGAAGCCTTCGTCACCACCGCTGGATGCGCCCTGAAATTCTAGACGCTTCACGTAGCCCCCACTAGCCAATCTAGAAACGATGCCCATGCGAGTTGGGCCTGGTCAGGGATGTGGGGGAGCATGCAGTGGAATAAAGGGGTGAGGAAGCTGTCGAAGAGGGGGAGGATGGAGCAGGAATCGGAGGAATAGGAGGAGAAGGGGGAGGAGGGTGAGGGGGTGAGGGCGGAGGGAGGATCAGGAACAGGTGGATGATGAGGAGGAGGAGAAGGAGGGCGAGCAGAACGGCCAGGGGCCTCTTGTATGCCGTTCGGAATCTCTTCGGATGTCTCTTGAGAATTTCTTGGAGTCCTCCTAGGGCGTCTTAGGGGTCTCGTGGCGGTCCCACGGGCCTCTTGCCTCTTGGTGCGTCTTGGGTGCCTTGAGGGGGCCTCTTGGGGTCTCTTGGGGTCTCTTGGCAGCCTCTCGGGGACCTCTTGGGGGCCTCTTTTGGCCTCCTGGGCGCCTCTTGGGGCAAATTGAGTTCGATCAAAGAAGGGGGGATACGTAATCAGCCCCCCCAAGGAGACCAACATTGGCCCAACAGCGAAAGAGGGGAATGTGTTTTGCCTGCTCACCAAATCCTTTTTACACGCTCCATTCGGTCGCGACGCCTTCCTTCCAGGTTTGGGGGATGGGGTAGGGAGAGAGGTTAAGTTCCCAGCGGTAACGCCGCAAGCTGTCTCGCTCTCTCTCACCCGCCCTCCCATTACTCGTGGCGCCAACATCGCAGAGCGGATTTCCGTCGGAAAACAATAGGATGGGCCCGGAGTGTCCTGGAGAGTTTCTTTCCGGATTTCGACGTGAGTTTCGTGCGTTTTTTTTCGTGGCCAGGAGTGAAGACCAATCACAAATCCACGTGATATCCGCTTCGTTTTTCGCTCGCCGTCTCGGGGTTGTGCACTGACAGAAGTCCACGCGAACATCCGCTGCGGCACGTCCGCAAGGCCAGACAGTGACATTTCAGAAGAGAAACAAAAGCACAGACACAATGAATCGTCGCTTCCCCCGAAAAGTTGGGAGAATATGGGAAGTGGGGGGGAAGACAAACACCCAGAACATGTAGGAGAACACGGAGAATCCTGTTATTTGTGTCTACTTATTTGTGTGTCCCAGGGCCCCGTCAACCCAGACCCCCGACGTCATGAACTTTTCATGGCGTCGACCCCCAGCGGTCTGGACCCATTCCCCAGGACCGGTTCTTCCTCCCGAGTCGTTTCTTGACGGCCCCGAGGGCCGGTAAGGGCCCCCCGAGGCCTAAAATCATGAAAAACCGCCCGCGGTGATCTTTTCATAACTCGAGGGGGTCTGGGAACATTGCATGGGCATCGCCCGAGTCCGAGCACGGGCCGGGCCGCCGTCGACAGCGGGTGGGGAGCGCCCGTGCCGGGCGCGCCAGCCGGGCGCGCGCCGCTCGCGGGAGTGGAGTCGGGCCCGTCCCTCTACAGGGGGAGTGTTCAAAAATAGTCCAAAGATAGTCCAAAAATAGTCCAACAATAGTCCAAAAATAGTCCAAAAATAATCAAAAATAGTCAAAAATAGGGACGATGTCTTGGGCATTTGTGGGCCATCCTGGGGTATGTTTGAACTTTTTTTTTTGTTTCGCCCAATATCCCCATGTAGGGGGTCAGGCCCGACTTGAGTCTTGCCCCGTGCACGTTTTGGCCCACGTTTTGGCCCACGGGGACTTTTTTTCTGGGGTTTAAAAAAATAGATAAAATATTGTTCGACCATTTTGGAGCATTTTTGGAGTATTTTTTGGGGGTTCGTCGAAACTCCCCCTGTAGGGGGACACGCCCGACCTAACGCAAGTGTCAAGCAGTGGCGAAGCCTCCTATAGGCCTACCAAGGAATGCTCTAAGAACCTTTTGTGGTCTCCACGAAACGTTCTGAGAACAGTTCTGGCTGGGACTGTCTTATTACCACACATCGGGCTTGTGTTCTAAGAGTATTGTCTTTGTTCTCAGAACATTTTTGGGTTCTAAGAACATTTTGTGGTAGGCCTATAGAAATGCCGGGACGGTCGGTCTCTGCTCAAAAGTGTGAGGTGCTCTGCGCGAGCCAGGTGCGCCGCGTTGGGCACTATGGCGGTATCGTTGATCCGATCCCCATCCCCATCCCCGTCCCCTTCGAGACCCCCCCCCAGATTACCGCCCCAGTTGGGGATGCACCCGTCGAAACCCGAAGGGAACGACCTAGATCCCCGTAGGGCCCAGGCCACGCCGCTGGGGATGAGGATCGGTTAAACAATACTCATTATGTTGAGCCCCAACCATCCCTGTCAAAAAACAATGCGCACGGACGGCGGTTTTGCCAGCATTGTGTACATAGCGTGCGCTTGCACGCGCAATTACCCGGTATTTGTTTTTGGCAGGTTTTGTTTTGGTGGGTCTGCACACCGCAAGCAACATGTTGGCCCCTCCGCCGTCCCTGTCAAGAGTCAATGCAACGTGATCGCGGGGCGCCCGCGGATAATTCAGATGGTGGTGCAAAGTGGGGGTGTTGGCATTGCACACACCAGGCACTATGTCGACACCCTCATATCAACATCCTTGTGAAATGATCGTGGGGCGTCTGCGCTACCTTGATGTTCTTGCAAAGTTGTTGTCCCCTGTTATTGAAAAATGCATGGTGGGCGGGGTTGGCAGTGTCCCTGGTTTGTCGCTGGTTGGCTGGGGGAGGGGGTGTTTACTCATAAAGAATAGTGAGAAATCCCTCCCCGAAGGGGAAGAAGGGAGGTTGGAAGAGGAAACGATTTAGACCACTCACGCCTTATGAAAAGGCTGGTGGGTTTCTGGTCAGAGTGCCCTCTGTGTGAGGTCTGGGGAGCAGCGGCATGGCTACCTTTTTTTTGGCCTTCCCAGGAACGCTCGGCGGGGCGACGACAGCGGCGGTGCCTTGGGCCGTGGCCAAAAGACCAGGCTCCTCGAGTCACTCGGGTCTGCAGGAGAGGGCATCCGCACACCACGCGCGGCGCCGGTGGCGTGTGGCATGGTCTTCCTTGGCCCGAGGATGGTGTACACCTTAGGCGATGCTTAAGAAAACTTAATTTTTCGGCCAGAGTCTCGATTATTCTTACTGTTTCAATGTAGATCCTAAGATTTGAATGGAAATGTAGGGTTTTTAGTCAAGTTCTGAGACTATGAATTTCTTAACCCATGATTTCTTAAGCATTTCGCAGGGTGTACGGCAGCCTCGTGTCGTATCGACTCGGCGGCGCCCCACATCGCGGGCTCTCCAGGCTCGGAACGCCGCCGGCGGCCCAGAATTGGCGGGCATCTCGAACGATCCGCGCCGTGCGAGAGCCGCGAAAAACACTCGAGACGGAAGGATATCCGCGCGGTGTCGGAAGCCAGCGCGCAAGTCGTCACGACGCGAGCCCGCCGTGCATGCCCTCGTGGCCTGGTCGCGCCGCATCGCCCATGCATCGGAGATGCGGCTCGATGTGCAGCGCAGTCTTCTCCGCGCCGACGTCGCCGATGCGCCGCGATCCTCCGACCACGTCTCGGGCCCCGTTCGGGGGGCCTCTACATGGGGGGGGGCGGGGGGGCAACGGTCGGGAAGAGTGGCTTCGCTCGGTTCGGGGGGGGATGCATCGACCCCCAATCACCCATTCATCGCTGATAGAGGCCGGATAGCCCACCGCGCCCAGGAGCGTTTGGATCTGCCATCGGGGGGCTCGCCGCTGACCCGTCGGCGATTTGCAGCAGGGGCGCCACATGAGAAGCTGGCCTGCCAACGAGTGCCTCACGGCCCATACCTCATCTTATCTCCAGGTTTGGGGCGCAGAGTCCCGGCCGCAGAAGTTCTCACCGCGAGATCTCCGATCGCACGTGCCTGCAGCGATGGTTCCAGCTCGATGCGCTCCCTCTTTCCTGGGCTGGTCCCCCTTTTGCATGGGAACTTCGGCTTAGCGTTAAGTCGGGCCTGCCCCTCTGCAGGAGAAATATTCTGAAATAGTAAAGAATCGTCTTGGGACGTTTTTGTTGACTATACTTCAACATTTGGGGGTGCCTTTTTGTATGTTTTATCTTGTGTCTAGAACTCGCCTGTAGGAGGACGTGCTCGATTTGAGCTCGGCGTGTCGCGCCTCCCCTTCCGGCCCACCGCGCCGAGGCTCGACACGCCTCACCAGGTCCCAGTCCCCATGCATCCACGTCCCGAGGCTCTGCCCATCCCCGAGCAGTGGCGAGTCGTCCTGGCGTGCTGATATCAGGAGGGAAAAAAACACACAGACACAATTAATCCTCGATTCCCAGGAAAATAAGGGAAAATATGGGAATTGGGGGGGAAGACAAAAACCCAGAAAATATGGGAAAATATGGGGACTATTTTTATTTGTGTGTATTTATTTGTGTGTCCTAATTTCCCTTTATGATAGGCCCACCACAGAATGTTCTAATCATCTCTTGTGGTCTCCACGACATGTTCTTAGGAACATGTCTGGCTGGGGCCGGCCTGTTCTAACACATCGGGCGTATGTTCTAAGAGCATTGTTGTCTGTTCTGAGACACGTCTGGCTTCTAAGAACATGTCGTGGTAGGCATAGAGGAATGCCGGGACGGCCGGTCCCTGTTCAACATCCCCCCGCCCTGCGGAGCGGAGCGACACACGCTATCAGCCTGGAAGGCATAGGGTGCCGCAGGAGCCGCCGCCGCGACGCGCTGAGCAAAAGTTTGCGACTGCAGCGCCCCCCCCCGCACACACACAGACACAGACACAGACACAGACACAGACACAGACACAGACACAGACACAGACACAGAGACGCACACGCACACGCACACGCACACGCACACGCACACGCACACGCACACGCACACGCACACGCACACGCACACGCACACGCACACGCGCACACGCGCACACGCGCACACGCGCACACGCGCACACGCGCACACGCGCACACGCGCACACGCGCACACGCGCACACGCGCACACGCGCACACGCGCACACGCGCACACGCGCACACGCGCACACGCGCACACGCGCACACGCGCACACGCGCACGCGCACACGCGCACGCGCGCACACGCGCACACGCGCACGCGCGCACACGCGCACGCGCGCACGCGCGCACACGCGCACACGCGCACACGCGCACACGCGCACACGCGCACACGCGCACACGCGCACACGCGCACACGCGCACACGCACACGCACACGCACACGCACACGCACACGCACACGCACACGCACACGCACACGCACACGCACCACGCACACGCACACGCACACGCACACGCACACGCACACGCACACGCACACGCACACGCACACGCACACGCACACGCACACGCACACGCACACGCACACGCGCGCGCGCACGCGCACGCGCACGCGCACGCGCACGCGCACGCGCACGCGCACGCGCACGCACGCACGCACGCACGCACGCAACGCACACGCACACGCACACGCACACGCACACGCACACGCACACGCACACGCACACGCACACGCACACGCACACGCACACGCACACGCACACGCACACGCACACGCACACGCACACGCACACACACACACACACTCTCTGCAGCCCTGTCTTCGACCCCCCCGCGCCCTTCCTCGCGCTCCAGCTCGTATGTGCCTACATCGCCGATTCCAGGTCGATGTTCCCCTCCCCCCCCCTGTGTCGTCCAGAAGCATCCGGAATCCATGAGGGTCCATCTGCAGTCTGGTCTCTGGGATAGCCATCCTTTTCCCAGAGAACAACCTCTCCGTGGTCTCCCCCCCTCTCCCTACCATTGCCCCAGCTGCCGGGCGGCGCCGACCGCCTGGTCGCCTGCGAGCTTCTGACCCAGCGCTTCCAGGAGCGCCGCGACGCGGGCGCTCAGCAGGCCCCGCGGCCACTGACGCCGACGCTGCCGAAGACGAAGACGCCGACGCCGACGACGACGACGCCGACGACGCCGACGGCGACGGCGACGACGACGACGACGCCGACGGCGCCGACGACGACGACGAGGACGACGACGGCGATGACGACGCCGACGACGACGACGATGACGCCGACGACGACGACGACGCCGACGCCGACGACGACGACGACGAGGACGACGACGACAATGCCAACGCCGACGCCGACGCCGACGCCGACGAGGACGAGGCGGACGTCGAGGCCGACGCCGACGACGCATTGTGGGAGGTGTTCGGGGCGTTTCGGCTGCTTCCTGCCGCCCTCCTCGCCGCTGGACCCGCCTCGGGCTGCCGGTCAGGTCGCGCTCCTGGGTGGTGCTGGGAGCCCGCGCCGACGACGACGCCGACAGGGCATGCCCAGACGACGACGCCAGCGGCGACGGCGAGGCCGTTGAGGAGTGTGGACTTCTCGAGCCATAGGATCAGTGAAGACGTTTTTTTCGCACGCTGAGCGAGTGCCGCATCTTGAACAGCGTCCGCCATCCATCCATTTTGCTTGGTTCAGCTTGAGATTTCAAACCTCTGGGCCATACGCTGTGAGGAAGTCTCAGGCGAAACGCGCTGCCCGTAATTACTACAGACATTACAGATGGTGCGAAGCGGAGAAGTCATTTATAATGAAGAGGGGTTGGGTTAAGGAGGGGCGGAGGGGGAACGAGTGGGGGTTGAGAAGGAGGCTAAGGATTGGGAGGATGAGGCAGCGAGAGGGGGGAAGGCAAGGATGAAAAAGAGAAAGGGAAGGGGCAGGATGAGATCGAGGAGGATGGGAAAGGGAGAGATAGAGAGAGAGAGAGAGAGAAAAAAAGAGAGAGAGAGAGAGAGAGAGAGAGAGAGAGAGGGAGGGAGGGAGAAGGGGACTTGCAGGCAGAAGGGCCACGAGCAGGAGCGCAGGCGCTGCTGTGCCTCTACCGCAGCAGCCGCGTGTGCGTCGTTACCCTGCAGGACCTGGAGGCCCGCTCGCACCTATTCCTCCTCCTCTTCCTCCTCCTCCCCAGCCCCCTCGAGTTATGAAACAATCATGACGGGGCCTTTCTCGCTATTCTCGGCCTCTGGGGGCCCTCACCGGCCGTTGGGGACGTCAACAAACACGACTCGGGATGAAGAGCCGGCCCCGGGCAGTGGGTCGTGACCTCTGGGGGTCGGCGTCGTGAACAAAGCATGGCGTCGGGGGTCTGGGGCGCTCCCCCTCCCCTCCTCCCCGTCCCGGGTGAGGCTTCGGGCCGCGCAGAGGCAGGTCTCCCCAGGCAGTCCTGGCTGGCCGCAGCAGGCCCGAGCAGCGGGCGGTCGGGACCCCGGCGCCGCCTCCAGCGGCGCCCCGGCGGCGGTCCGGGGCCCCAGGGCCGGTGCCGAGGCCGCCCTGGCCTCCCAGTGGCACCTGCTGGAGCCGGCCTGGGCCGTATGCCTGGGGGAGCTGTCTGCGCACGAAGCCCGAGGCCCTGCCACGCCTCTCCCGCCTCCTGCCCCTCTCTCTATATATCCGCACGTGTCTCTCCCCCCCCCCCCGTCCGCAGATCGACTGCTCTCCTGCTCGGGAGGCCCACTCGCAGCTGCTCTTCGAGGAGGCGGCGAACGACCGCGAGCGCAGCGACGTGCCCGTCTGCTGCGCGGCGTGCCACGACCCCGACGCGGGCTCCGCGCACGTGGTCGTGGGTTACGCCTCGATGGCCGTGCGGTGGTGGCAGGCGTAGCGTCCAAGAAGGGGCCTCTGGGCCTCGGAGGATCGCGCCGCCTCGCCGATGCATCGCCGATGTGCGGCGCGATCCTCCGGCCCCCTCCGCTCGGACCCCATTTGGGCGGCGATACGTGGGGGGGGCGATCGATTCAGTATCGTGTATCCGACCCCCATCCTCATCCTCATCCCCCTCGGAACCCGAAGGGAACGGCCAATATCCCCATCCAGGGGGCCAACTCGGCCAGTGCGGCCCAGGCCACGCCGCTGGGGATGGGGATCGGTGAAACGATGCTCATACTTAGGGGGGGGGTGCGGCCGTTCGGGGGCCCGCTTGGACGGTTTTAGGTGTCTCCGGGGCGTCTGCAGCCAGGGGACCTCTGGGCTATGATGTTCCAACCTACTTTAGCCTTGATCACTGGAATTTCGAGCACCAGAAAACTACCCACAAACTCGAGGGGTTTCACGTGTCGGGCCCTGGGAGACTCGTCCGACACTGTTTCCGCACTGTCTCGACACTCTTTCGACACTCTTCCGGATGCTCGAACTTATTTCTGGGACGTGGTCCTTAAGTGCGATGGGAGCAACATAACCTCCGGAGCCCCCAAGAGACCCCAGGAGGCCCCCGAGAGGCACCCAGGAGGCCCAAACGAGGCCTCAAGAGGCCACAAAACAGCCCCGAGGAAATGGAGGAGGAGGAGGAGGAGGAGGAGGAGGAGGAGGAAATGGAGGAGGAGGAGGAGGAGGAGGAGGAGGAGGAGCAGGACCGGCTTTTCATCCTGAGTCGTGTTTTGACGGTCCCGGGGCCCGGCGAGGGCCTTTTTTCAATGCGTTGGAGGTCTGGGAACACGCAGCCCCCCACCCAGCCCCCCGGCACTGCCGGTGGCAGGTGGGCGACGCAGTCTAAACTAGGGCTGGTTGCGCGGGCATCGCTGCGCAAGCTGCTCGCGGAGCGCTGCGCGCGAGGGCCCTTGCTCCGCGCAAGCCAATGCTTGCGTGGCCGCCGTGCCATCGTGTGTGGCCCAGGCATCCGGCGCTTTGATGTCTGTTCGATGCGTGGGCCCCTGGACCGACCTCTCGACCCCCGGGGAGGGTGTTGCCTCCCGAGTCGTTTGTTCGACGGCCCCGAGGCTCGAGAACCTGGCCGGTCCCCAAGAGGCCAAGAACGGCGACGAACTGGCCGCCCTGTTTGCTGTTCGATCGGATCAGAGGCCTGGAGGTTGACACCAACACCAATATCGGTGGTGTGCCTCCACCGAGGGAAGACGATCCCGATCTCGGTGATGGTGGTAATATTCTGGCTTCCAAGATGACCGAAATATTACCACAAACACCGAAATCTAGGATCATCTTCCCCATGTGGAGGCAACCCGCCTGTGTTGGTGTTGGTGCCCATTTCCAGGCCTCCAATCGGAAGCGCACTCCGAACCCGACCCTCGCCGATCAACGATCCAGGCAAGACTCGATGGGCGGCTGGGGTAGGGTTCGGAATCCGCCGGACACGCGGCGGCACCCGAATCCCACCCCCGCCTCCCACAGGGCTCGTTTCGATGCTTCCGATTCGATTCGATTCGATTTCGATGGCTTCCGATTCCGATTCGATTCGGCTTCGGATTTCGATTCGGAATCCGATTCCTTTTTGGAGGCATAATAGCCTGCCGATTTCCGCCGATTCGACTTTTCCCGACTCGGCTGCCGATTTCCGCCGATTCGATCCATTTCGATCGCCGATCCGATTTGTCGATTCGATACTGGGCTCTCCTGCTCCCATCGATCCTGGAGAACCGATGGCTGGTAGGGGTAGCGCTCGGATGCCGCCACATGTCCCAGACCCCCGACGTCATGATGTTTTCGTGGCGTCGACCCCCAGAAGTCTCGACCCCTTCCCCGGCACCGGGTTTTCCTTCCGGATCGTCTCCTGACGGCCCCCAGGGCCAGCAAGGGCCCCCAGATCGGACGGGTTTAGGACGAGGGTACATCCGTTCCAGAGCGTTCTGGAACGCTCTCAGGGAAATCAAGAACGCTGTGAGAAGGCC